CGCTAAATAAGGAACTAATTACGCGCTCGAGAGAGTAAAGTGGGGGGAGGGGGAAGTTGGACACCATACGCGCGTGTGTTTGTATACGCGCGAACGAGCGGATGATTTATTTTACCCCGAGTGCACGAACGGCGCGATTGCACTGATAATAGAGAGTCGATCTCTTCCGCCTTTTTTTTTGGGGACGTGAATTGTGTGTGTTTGGGAGTACGAGTGAGTTATACACACACACTCACGATAATCAAGTTGTAATTGGTTTTCTATTTGTAAGCGTTGGTTAAGGGTCGCGATCGATGCGTGTATTTTGCGCTAATTGACGATTACACTTTTTAATTTCAGCATTAATTGATCTTCTGAACTATAGAGTGCGGAGCCTGTATCGATAGGGTCACGGGGTATGAATCCCCGGTACAAACGGTCGATGTAGAAAAACTTTTAATGACAAATCAACCGAGGCACGAGCGATAATTTTTTTTTTTTCATTCGATTTCTTTGATGCACAAACATTGACTCTCATCGATGAGTTTTGTTCAACAGTAAAATCCTCGATAAAAAAAAAATCATACAAACTATCCCTCAATCAAAGAGAAATCAAATCACCAAAGAAAAAAAGATCATCTTCGTACAGCGGCAAAAAGGGAAAAAGAAATAAGAAGCAGCAAAGAGTTATAAATCTCGGCACTTACTAACAGATCCGTACACTCTCCTTTTTTCTTTTATCGATAGATGCCCACATACACGCGTTATGCCCCCGCACACTCGCGCTCGTGCGTCCGTCGTACGTTTCCCTTCGCAGCCTCTCTCTGCTCTTGTGGCATTAAACTAGCCTCCGACCGATAAGCTCTTCAGCAGCAACAGCAGTCTGGCTTTTAGCGGATGGTACACGCGCGTGTGTGTGTTTGTGCGAGAGAGAGATTATCGGAGCTTGCGCTCAAGCCGCAGGGACACACGGTGCCGCAGAGGAGAGAGAAGCCTAACGATAACGCCGGTGTTTATACGTCAAGATGAATATTTTAGAGACTCTTTTTTTTTCTTTTTTTTTTTTTTTTTTTTTTTCTGTTCGCCACCGTGTGTCTCTATACGAGTGCTTTTTGCTGTACGCTTGGCTCGGCCCGAGGCTTTTTTTATTGGCTGAATGGAAGAGATGGTCGGCGAAAAAATCGGAACGGGCAAGATGGAGGGACGATTGGGATGATGAATATTTAGTTGGTCTCCCCCCTCCATCTGGAGTATTATTTTCCAATCGACTGATCATGTTACGTTCAAATTGGATTAATACACTTGCAATTAAAAGTGTTATTCAATTAAGAAGAAAAGAAAAAAAAACTTGCACTCGATCGTTGCGTACACACGTTTGTTTCGTAACTCCTAAATGTTTGCGCAATGAATCGCGTTACGCTGTAATCGAGCCTCTCTTCGTTCCCGCGTTTTGCCAAAATCACGCGTTAAAATTGATTAATTAGCCTTTATAAATAGCTTTATCGCCCTCCTCTTTGTCTCGGGCTCGAGAACGACTTGACAATTTTCACCGGGAGTTACGAGATCGCAGCGCTTTGTATCGCACGGGTACAATGCCGGATTCACCTGCTGCAGAGGAATATCGTCGAGACTCTCTCTCTCACCGGTTGTTATTGTTTGCACACTTTTCTTTATTGTTTCTCATTGTGCCCACTTGTACAATATTATCAACAAACACACGCACGGAAAGTAGGTATATAACCGGCAGATTGTTGCATCCGTCCATCCAACGATTTGATTATTCAACCGTACGATATTTTATACAGCTCAATTGCCAGCGTGTAAGGCCTTTTGCCACGCGTTACGTACCTTTCGGTCGGACAAGAGTTTATTTTCGTCCTTTGAATACCATTAACTTTAAATCCTCTGGAGATTTATTTTAATCCCGGCATATATATGTGTCAGTTTTTGTCTGTTTTCATAAAAATAAATCATTCCTCGTTTACGCGTGTAGGTACAAACCGTCTCGTAAAACTCGACTGTAAGCCCGTGTCCTACGAGTCTAAGATGCTCTCCCTCCCTCCTCCCGAAAAAAAAAAAAAAAAAAAAAAAAAAAAAAAAAAAAAAAAAAAAAAAAAAA